AAAAAAAATTTTTTCGCATATTGAGAAATCCGAGACCTAAACTACTACCAATAGAAAAAACTTAGTTACTTTGAAGTTAAGACGAATGTTTGCTGCACCAGTAACATAGTTTCAGTGGCTTTTCCTTTTTGGAACCCTTTGTAAGGGCGCCTCTAGAATAAAAAGTTATTTTTCCTTCCAGGATTCGGTCAGATTCATAAAAGAAGTGGAAGAAAAGTCAACATTATTTACTGACAACTGCTTTCAAAATTCCCTTTGGCTTGCTAAGGCAAATCAGGCCCTGACAGTTTGTTTTAAATAGTTTGCTCGTATAAGGATTGCAGTCCTGTCTTCTTGGTGTTTAATGTGTCGAAGCGTTATAATTTCCTGTTTGGAAGGAATTGTCGTTTTCAAAGCTTAAATACGCAGGCCTTCCAGTTTTCTAACTTTTTTAAATGAAAACAGTTGTGAAAATTTTATTGGTATGGAATTTTCTAGAGTAGGACTTCATTAACTATTATAGGGTTCTTGGTAAATAATGTTGTATTTGAAGGAGAGTGCTAGTCCTATTACTGAAAGCCTGTTCGTAAGTAAAGTTTTGGTGCTGGACGGAACAATCAGGCAGAAGTTACGCATTACTTCAGAAATTGTAAATGCAAATCATCTTATCAACTTAATTTTCGAGTATTGTTTCTTTTAACTTTGGGTTTCTAAATTTTTTAAATTTTGTTCTCATAAATTTATGCTGTATAAGTAAAGAAAAAATTTTATTTCTAAATTGCATTGCGCGGTCTGTGACTTTCTCGCCCGCCAAAGAAGAGGGTGTTTTCAAATCCTTAAATACTTCTGCATGTGTAAAAGGGATTGCAGAATTGAGGATATCATGATTAGTATTTTTTCTTCAGCTTCGTTTCGATAACATTATTGTTGTAACATCAGTTTTAATTTCTTCGCTTCGTTACAGATAAGTTTTTTAGATTTGATGGTCTTATTAATGCTGCTTCAAGTTTAAAGGGATCTGTAAGATTAGAACATTTCCTTCCTTACGCAAAATGTTTATTTTTTGCCAGGATTGGTGACTTTATTTCAACTTCAAACTACCAGGTAAGACTCAGATTTATTTTTTTATGTCATTTTATTGTACCGTAAAAACTAGCTAAAGGTGGCAGTGCGCTGACTTTTTGTGATATAAGAAGATTTAGGTCTTTTTTATCGTTACCTGAATTATTTTTTGACTTATGGAGACCCTTCGTTCTATTTATACCTTATTTTCTTGTGAGGGTAAGGTTTTGTTAAGAAGAGAAGTTGCCAATTTTTATATTCACCCGAACCGGGACTTATCCTAGGTAGTTTGAGTAGTCAGTCTTTATTCTTAATTGACAAAGTCTTTTTTGGTATTTTCAAATTTATAATTGCAGTTCATGATAAGAACGGGTATATTATAGTCTTCTGTAGCCTTTTTGTGTTTTTGTTTTATCGTAATTTGAATTATTCGTGATTGTCGAGATCAGGAGTTTTTGTATGCATCTGGAAAAAATGGTAAATTTTTTCACAGAGAGTTTACATTCTTGTAAATGAAGCTTACTAATGACATTTAATTAGGAAACTGTTTTTGCTGCTGCTGTTAGATGTTCAATGATATTTTGATTTTGGATTGATACTGCATCAGCCAAATTTTTGAGCTTTTTTTGCTGATTACTCTTTCTTTTTTTTTCAAATTTAATAATTGTTTTACCAAAAGTAGTGGATATTTTATTTGTAGTTAAAAAACGGTCCTCTGTTACATCTGCGAGTAATGGTTGGAATTTTTCTTCTGTGGTGCTGTCGTTTTTTTTTTTTGTTATTTAAGAAAGCGCCATATACGATTGACTCTCTATCGTCTTGAATAAATTGACTAAGAATTCTGAGTATTGGCCGGTGTTATGAAATATTACATTTAAGATGAAGCAAATCTCCTAGTGCTAGTCATAGGGTTACTTTGTATTCAATCTTTCTTTTTCATTAATTACAAGGATTTCTTGGTGGAATAAAATTTATTGCATTTTCCTAACCGCGAGCGTTACTGTTTATTGGATTGAAGGGACTAAACAAGATTCAATTATTTTAAGGTGTTTCTGTAAATGTGTTCTTTAGCAGGTAATATGCTTTCCATTTTTTAGTCTAAGTGTGGCACTAGCGTAGGATATAATCCCGCTATAACAGCATATCGGCTGGCATTAAATGCGTTGTTGCCATCACCTCCAGTGGCGGAGCGTTTAAGGGCATTGTACGAATTAGAATATATGACGTTGAAAGCTATTATTGATCAGAATAAGGCTGATTACATCAAATCGCAGGAAGATTGTCAGGTATTTCATTTAATCTCGTGTCTTTTTTCAGCACTTTTACTTACCAGAAAGGAATGGTAGTTTTGTTTGTCTGATTACATTTACTTTTTTTTAAGGCTACTTTGCACCTTTATCGAATATTTGGGGAAAAGTCATTTGGATGTGACAGAGCACTGTTTATACGGTCATCACAGTCTAGTCCAGATTTAACTGTACTTCCGGAAGGACGCATTGAAAGTGGGAAGATTAATTCCGTTACAAAGGCTACTTTTCAGATCTTTCTTGTAGGAAAAGTCTTGAAATTTGTTTCAGTAATTTAATGCTATCTATGGAAAATTGAACATCATTTTTAGCTTTTTCGAAAGGACTTTTGGCAAATTCGACATTTTACTTTTACGTGCAAACGAACCAGACTCCAGGTGTTCATTGTTTACTCTTTTTTAGAGGTGGTTTGCTTACTGAATGAAATTGAGGTATTTCGGCGAGTTATTTGGTTGATGGTGCATATTCAGTCCCTTTCGACGTCTTCCTGTAATTATTTTTTCAATGCTGATTTTTTCCAGAAGCCCATTTATAAGTCTTTTAAATTTTTTCATTGGTAAGTGTTCAAAATAACAAGTTGAGACATTTGTATCATTTCAGTAAATTTTGTCGATTCTTTCCTCTCGTCGTTTCCTCAATATCCCCCTGAAGATGACCTTCATTCTTTTTCATCTGAATCTTCATTCTCCCGTTTAGATGCTAAGGTATGAGTTTCAAATCTGTTTATCTAATTAGAGAGTTCTGCTTTTGCTAAAAAAAGGTTATTCTTTGTTTAAAGAGTAGCATGCGTAGTATTTTTCTAGATATTTCTCTTGGCCACCTCGGAGTGGTCGCGCCTTCAGAAGTCAACCAAAACATATAATCCCATTTGTTTTCCTGCATTAAATCCTCAAATCCTAACTACTTGGAAGTCTTTAACCATTAACAGTGATAAACATAAGAAGTAAGTATTTACTATTTTTTGTTTTTTATCAATTGGTAGAGGTTTGTGTCCGATTAGTTTTGAGTCTGCAGCGGTTTCAATCTCACAAAGCAATTAAGTAAGAGGAGTGCTTGCTGGAAAAATTACTTCCTTAACAGTTTTCCATTACTGAGACGATAATTTCGAGTGGAAGTAGACTCAAGAACGTCATTTTGTATTAGTTGATTTTTTGGCTTCTTTTTTTTTGAGTGAATTTTTTTTAGGTCTGATGTGATATCAAAAGTGAAGTTGTATAATGCTCTTGAGTTTACTCGCCTTCGTGGCGAACTCCCTGACTTGCGTATCATCTTCAAGGTTTTTTGTTGGTTGCAAAGCCAGGGGAGTTCAGCTAAGAAGTTTGCCAGTTTGTATGCAAATACAATTATCGGAATTGCAGAAGGGTTAGTTCTGGCTTTCAACCGTTTTTTCGCTCTCAGTCATTTACTGTCATTAAGGAGATGTTTGCTTAACAGAACGGCATTGTTTCTATTCTGTTCTAACGTAAACATTTTTCTTTAGTATTTTCTGATCTACTCAACTACATCTCCTTTTAGCTACTACTTTTTTTTTTTAGTGTAAACAATTCAAAACATTTTTTTAGCACGGTAACAGGTGTTCGTGGCATTCGTCAGTCTGACCCTTTTCTCCCACTGGAGCTCTCCAGCATTAGTACTGATGAAGAAGAAAAAATTGTAGAGGCAGCTCATTCTTTCCTTAACGATAAAAATGCATCAGTTTTTTCATCAAAGTCTCATGTTTCCCCGTCTACTTCCACACATCAAGAGCAGACAAAAGAAGAAGTTAAAGCAGATCCTGTAGTTGATCCAGTCTTTGAAAATCAGGATGTTGTTGAGGCAGCATCAAAAAGTACTTCTGAAACTAAAGGGACCAGAGTTGCTGAAATGGAAAATATTTCCGAAGTGAAAGGCGCTCGAGTTTCTGAATTGGTAAG